TGTTTGGAAAAGGAGACACAAAGTATGTTTGGTTGGGTGGTCTAAATTCTATCCCTTGGAAATTCATCCTTTGTCCTAACATGTGATTATTTTGCATGTTATTTTGATTATACATATTTTGGAATCCCTCATTCATATTTCCATAAATATCGTTTCTTCCATATTGGTATTCATTCCCCATTTGTTGATCATTGTTTCGATTTCTCCTTAAAAGATATGGGGGATTGATATTAGTATTCTGATTAGCACGATTTTCTACCCTCGTTTGTCGAGGTACAGCCAATGCATCCCCGATTCGTGACATTTGATCTGCTAATATCTCAAAACTAGCAGTAGTGTTTTGAACTAATGGATTTAGGACTGTAGTCAACTGTTGTGATAATATATTCACCATCTCAAAATTACTCTCATCCATTTGTTGTCTAAGTATTCCTAAGGAGTTACTAAATATTCCAGTACCAGTATTTTCGATAGTATCAAAATTAGATCGATGATAATCCCTATCGAATGTATATCTCCCATGATCTACGTTTCCTCTATGATCTAGATTTGGAGGTATTTGTTGCGTTCCTACATTCTCGCACATTCCACGAGTTACGGGAATTACTAAATTTTGAGATGTTCCTAGGTTTGGAGATGCTCCAAGATTACGTGGCATACCTAGGGTTTGAAATGTTCCTAAGTTATATCTTGAATTTCGTTGCATCGAAGAAGTACCAACCTCATTCATGTTAAGCGAAAACCCAGGTGGTCTTATACTCATATACGGCCCAACATTTGTTGTTATAGGGTTTCCCATAGTTGGCATACTGTTTAGTGCCACCGTGCTAGATCCTACTTGGGTATTTGCTAAAGTGCCTGAATTTTGTTCATTACTCACGGGTATCGACATACTTACAGTTGTCGATACTATAGGTGTATTCACATTATGACTTTGCCCCCCAGTATTTGGTGGGTGTGACCCATTTAATCCCTCAGTGTTACTCTGGTTACTTGATGAACTCTGACTCATGACTCTCCCACTCCTTAATCTCATACACTCTCGAACTAACCAATTTTGTGTTTCTCAACACAAAAAGCCCCCTACCTGGCGCGCCAATTTGTTTCTGGTGGAATTTCGATCGATTTCGATTCTGAAGGTGATTTGGTCCTAATCAAAATCCTCCCACATAAGTTCTTTTTTCTTGGGCTAGCAGTCTGACTTTCAATCGAAAACGTGTATGAGAATCGAAAGTCACAGAATATCGAAAACGCTATTTTTTATATTTAAAATACCAAACACAGTAAAAATATCGAATCGAGAAACAGAATATTATATTGCAAGGAAATGTAAAGTGCGAAAACCCTAAATTTGCATTAATTGTAAATGACAGGAAATCGAAAACAGCGCAAATATAAATGACAAGAAATCGAGATTGCAAGAAAAGTAAATGACAGGAAATCGAGATTGCAAGAAAAGTAAATGACAGGAAATCAAGATTTGCAAAATGTTAAATGACAGGAAATCGTAAATACAGAAACTTAAACTTTCATTGAATTGAAATGACAAGGAATCGAAAAGACAGAAACTTAAACTTGCTGAATTTAAGTTGCATCAAAGTAAATTACCAAGGAAAATACAGAAAGCGGTAAATGTACTCAGTGAGCAAGGAAATCCAGATTGCCAGAAGCTTCATGGTGTTCGTCGTTTCTCCGGTAGACTTTTCACTACTGATTCTGTTCTCTGCCAATTTCTGCCCCCTGTTCCTTCCTCCTTTGCTCTATTTATAGGGCATCGTTCAAGCCTTCCAAGAGCAGTTAACACGACTGCTACCACGTTCTACGTGCGTATGACAATTTATCTTCTATAGTTTCCCACGTTCTCACGATCTCCGACTTTTTTCCCATGGTTTCGAAACCGCTCTCTATACGTGCATTTGACTTGCTTTCTTTCACGATTTGGCCAAAGTTTCGATGTCCACATTGGCTTTCTTTACTCTCGATTCTGTATTTTTCGAGAACTTCAAATTGCTTACGATTCCTTTTTAACCCTGGTCTCATATGACTTAGTTTTTATTCGACAACAGGCATTTGGTTATCATTCATTCGATTCTCGATTGTGCTTCTCGATGTTATATGCTACGTACTTCTAATTAGACATCGAATGAATTTTAGTTTATCTTATCGAGTCACATTTTTTCCTTCATTTTCGATCACTTTTCTCGATTTGCCATTAACAATAACACTCTCTAAATTAACAATAACACTCTCTAAATGTACCATTGTTACATAATTATTTGTGTTTAATTCTACAAAATTAAAATTTTAAATTTTATTTATTAGTTAAAATTGTTCCACGTGTGAAAAGTAATAATTAAAATTTATGATCGTTTAATCATTGAAATTATTATAAAATACATTAATTAATTATTTAAGTTGTAATGATACACAATTTATTAGGAATATTTTAAAAAAATCTACTTGTAAATTTTTAAAAAATATATATTTTAATATTGAGAATGACTTTATTATACTATAAATATAATAAATATTCAATATAGATAAAAGTTTAATCACACTAAAAAATTTATTATACTTCTAAAAAATAACTAAATTATTTAAGATTTAAATTAATATAAAAATTAATTTAATTACTCAATTATGATTTTAAGTCTTATTAAGTTATAAATTATTAAAACTAGTTAAAAAATTATAATTAAATTAAACTACGACTATATAAAACTTATTATATGAATAATAAAATTAAGTTGTCATTTCAAACTCATCCATATTACTATATCTTAGAAAGAAAAAAACACACACACACACACACTTATATTTTGTTTGTGTAAGTCACACAAGTTTTATTATTTGTTTTTAAGTATAACATATACACATTCGCCTAAAAAAATAGGAAACAAATTAGAGAGGAGAAGTTAAGGAAATTTGACATTTTTCTGTATATCTCATTAAATTCAATTGTTTGTTATTTTCAATTTTAAAGTTACGAGGAGTAATTCTAGACGAACCTCAACCATAATTGCTATTAAAAGTCAAATGAAGATGTTGGAAGTTAACACAGTTTTTTAGAAAATCAATTACATAGGGTAAGGTGACGAATTACATTACATATATTTGTTTGACAGATATAACCCTTGATTTTGATTATCATTATATAATTTTAAAAACAATAAATTTCAAATTAGAATTTGAATGAATGTTATTTTTCTACTGAAAACAAGACAATAAAAAATCATAGATAAATTTGAAATTTAATATTTACCTTTTTTTTTCATGAATCAAATTTTTATTACTTTGATGTTAATCAGAGTGGGAAAGTTTGAGAAAATGTATTGGATCAAAATCAAGATGGAAGTTCATGATAAACTACTTTATACAGCTTTTATTAATTTTTAAGTTTTTTTATAAAAGATGTGATATCATTAAAAATACATTCAATAACCTTTAGTCCTCTGTCAAAATTTCAATTATGAAAATATTTTAATAATTTAAACATATTAGAAAAGTAATTTTATTCTCTATTAAATATTGAAGATGAATTTACATTTGATTAAACATAAAAAAATTATGTTTTTTATATTATTATTTATAGCGTAAATGATTTATTGTTTAATTAATTAAACTCATCATGATAAATTGTTTAAATATTATGTGGATTCGTTTTATATTAATAATTTGATACTTAAAATATAATATATCTCAATTAAAGATTGGTTACACATAATTTTTATTTTAAATATGATTTGAAACATTTAAAGTAAAATGTTAGAATAGGAAAGAATAATAAAAATAAATTACTGAAAAATAAATATGTGAATAAAGTAAATAATAGATAAATAAATCAAACTCATCACTCATGATAAAACAAAAATTGGTAAATAAAATCAAAATCAATAAAAGTAGCATATAAATTATAAAAAAATTCATTAAAAATGTTTGTTTTTTGTCCTATCATTTTTTAGAATATAAATTTCTTCATATAATTTGATAATCACAATTTTTTTACATTTATTTCACCTATTTATATATTTTTTATGTCTAACCACTAAAAATTACCTAAATAAATTAAATTAAAGTAAAAGATAGTCAAATAAAAATCCACATATTGTTACTTTATTATAATTGTTGTCTCTTTTTGACTTATATTGTTGTTATTTACCACCACCTATTAATATGCATGTGGAGGATAATAATTGTTTTACCATATTTATTGTGTTACTTCTTTTCAGTATCTCATATTTTATTTGATTTGCACCATAAGTCTTGATGTCTTTTACTCTTCAATTTTCAATATTGTACTAATCACACCTATGTGATTTTATTTCTCAATATATTCCTCACCCCATTTTTTTTATGACCTCTATGCTTTTGAGCTCTTCTTAATTATTCTCCATATGAATTTTTAATCCATTTAATCCAACTAATCATATTAATTTTACATTTTCTTATAATTTTCTTTAATTAATATTCATCGTCAACTTTTCCATATATCCAATTATCAATATAATATTTTAATTATTCTTTCCATTTATCAATTCATTACTTTCAATACAGTTGTAATTTTACCAAAATTATTTTACCTCATATATTATATATGTATCCTTAAAAAAGTCACTTCCTTTTTATAATCATATTTTACATTTGATCTTCATCAATTTATATTTTCTATATCTCATGTGAAAATACATAGAGCACAAAATAATCTTATTGAGTAGATCTAATCTATTTTAAAATATTGCAAATTATATATATAAAAAAACAACTAAATAGAATGAGGGTTATGTTATTCATCTCACTTTTTATTGTCTTGAAAGATAATGACCAGGTTTAGTTTTAATTTGACTTAACCTAACTAAAAACGGAATAGTTAATTGAAGTTAAGCCAGCTTGTTAGAATTTTAAAAAAGTTTGTATTTCTTGAGTTGAGTTAGAGATGAAAGGAAATAATAAGAAAAAAAAGATTTAAAATATAGAAGGCAGTTTGTGGAAGTTTACAAACTCTAGCCCAAAATGCTACTACAGAATGGATCAGTTTTGATGGCAACATTTTGAGCGGTGGATTTTTTGGTAAAAAGCATTTCCATGTCTTCCAAGGGCACGCCTTTGGTTTCAGGAAGGAAAAAGTAAAAGAAGAGCCAAGCTAGAACAGATACTCCAGCAAACATGAAAAAGCTCCCACCAATGGTGATTGATTTGTAGACTGAAATAAAGCTCATGGAAACCACAGCATTCATGGTCCTATTCACTGCAACTCCTATACTCGCCCCTTGCGCCCTCAACTTCAAAGGGAATATCTCCGACCCGTAGACCCACGTGACAGGCCCAAGCCCAATGTTAAAGAAGGCAACATAAGCATATGTGGCCACGATGCTTAGGCTCAATGCCCACAAGAGCTTTTCACTTGAATGGTCAACCATGGTCAAACTAAAACCCAAAAGTGCCAGGCCGCAAATCATTCCCCCAGTGCTGACTTGCAAGAGGCGCCTTCTGCCAACTTTGTCAAGCAAAAATAAAGCCAAGACCAAGAAAGTGATCTTTGTGAGGCCAATTCCAACAGTTGCCAGCAAGAGCTTATCCTTACTTGTCACACCAGCTTTCTTAAAGATTCTGGGGCTATACAACATCACAGCTTCTATGCCCGTTGCATGCTCGAAAAAATGAATCCCAATTGCTGCAATCAGCATCCAACGAACTTCAGGTGTTGGCCTCACAAGCAACTCTTTCCAAACCCCTTCACCTTGTGACTTCTTCTGAGGAACCTTCACATTTTCACCAATGCCACAATTCTCATCAAACCCTACAGCAACTTTTATTTCCCTGAAACGAAGTTCAGCCTCTTCTGTGCTGTTTGAAACTTTCAATAGCACCCTCTTCGCACCTTCCAAACGACCCTGCATCACTAACCACCTTGGCGACTCTGGCATTGCTAGAATGCCCAAAGCCAAAGCAAGTGACGGAAGTGCCGCAACACCAAGCATCATCCTCCATCCAAGTTTCAGGGTCAATTTTCCCAATAAGTAGTTTGATATGTAGCCAAGTAAGATGCCAATGCCGATACAAAGCTCGGGCAAAGAGGTCAGAAAACCCCTGGATGATGCAGAGGAAATCTCTGCTGAGTAAACTGGTGCTATCATAAGAGCAAATCCCACACCCACACCACCAACACACCTTCCAAGCATCAATATTGCGTAGTTTGGGCCATACCCCATCAGAACTGCACCCAGCATGAAGAGGACGGAGGCTAACAAAATTGTGTAGCGACGACCAATGTAATCAGAGGTTCTTCCTGCGGCCAAGGATCCTACCAATGCACATAGGTTCAAGATTCCTGCCAGAACCTCTTGTTGGGTATCGCTGATACCAATATCATCTTTGATGAATATCATTGCTCCACTCATAACACCAGTATCTGAAATCATGAAATAGAGTTTAAAACATGGATCATTATATTGAATTATATTATGTAGTATTTTTCTCCGTCTGTCAACATTATCTCATAGGAAATTGAAATTTCGTCTCATATCGATAATTTATATGTGCTGACGTTTAATACTGTTCCTTAAGTTCAAGTAATGTATTTGGCCTTACAATAAAAAAATGTAGATTATAAAATAATTAGTGTTGGATTTTAATATGATTACAAGATCTTATACTTAAAAAAAATAAAAAATCTTACATATATAAATTAATTATTTTTTAAATTATTAAATATATAATTTTAAAAAATATATTTAATAAGTTAATTTTTATTTAATTAATTTAAAATAAAAAATTTAATTATTAATTCTTTTTAATCTTTAAAATATAATTATTTTATTAAGATAAAATTTAATAATTGACAAATAAAAATAATAAAATACAATATATACAACTTAATAAAAATAAATTAAAAATAAAATAATATTAATTAATGGAGAATATATAAAAAGGATAAAAGATGAAAATTTAATTTTATGTCTGTGAAATTGGTTAAAGATATTAGAATAACTAAATTGATTAAAAAGATGTAGAAAATACAAAGAAACAAGGAGAAAGAAAATAATATAACTAATTGATTGATCAAGAGATTTAAAAAATAAAAAAAGGAAAACTTAGCAAGAAAAAAATAAAAGTAAAAAAAATATAAAAAAAATACCTATGTATAATATGAAAAATAAAATAAAATATTTTAAAATTAAAATTAAAATATATAAAAAAAAGGGATGAGACTCATCTCAATTCTCATCTCCAATCAAATTATTTGATTTTGGAGGTGAAGTATAGGTGTAATAGACGTCATACCATACCACAGTGTATAGATTAGACACATTAGAGAATATTGCAAAGAAAGAGAGAATATGCAAAATTACCATAACCAGATATGATGGAAACCATTGAAGCAACTACAGCACAAGCAAAGGCATATTTGTTTAACGTCGTCTTCTGGTCTTCTCTGCGACCCTGTTCCATGATTATGATAATTATAATAATAATTCTGAAAGAGTAAAAGGCTCCTGAACGTGATTTGAGTTGAGTCCAATTTCCTCACCAAAACTTGTTTATATAGAAAACGAAGTGTGTACAAGATCGCTGGTCTGATATGGTTCCCACTAACTGTGGACTAGTCAGAGATACTTGGTGGTCGCTGTTACACTATATGGAATGCGGCACAAAAAATTTGACCTAAAAAGTCTAATAAAATTGATTATTTAAATGTATTTATCCAATATACATAAAATACAATAATGATGAATAAATTCGTATGATATAATATAGTTATTTTTTCCTTTTTCGTTAATTTTTTTCTTCATTAGTTTTATTATTTTTCTTTTTCTGTATTTATTTATTATTTTTTTCTCTTTCTCCTTCTTTTATCCTTCATCACTCCATTTTTTATTTATTTAAAATAATAGATTAAAATAAAATTTGATAACGTAAGTTTTTATTATTATTAAAAATAAAAATATTTAAATGATTTATAAATATTACAATTTAATATATTATATTTTAAAAAATATTATAAGTTAAACTTGAAATATTACAAATATTACTATTATTATGTTATAATTATTATAAAAAGTTAAATATTTATTTTAAAGAATTTTTTAAATAAATATTTTTAAAATTATCTAATCTAACTAATTATCATAACTCAACTTAATTATAATTATATTATATTATTAAATAAAAAATACATTAAACTTATAAATATTTAATATTTTTTTATTATATGAGTAATTATGTATTCTAATAAAATAATTTTAAATAAATTATTTACGTAGTAAGTAAAATTTATTATCAAAATAAATAAAATTATTTATTATCATAATTTTAAATAATTAGTTAATATTTTTTTATTTTTAATGATGTTTTTTAAATATTTATTTTAATATATTTTTATTAAATTTTAATATAGTAATGTAATTAGGAGGATAAGTGGAAGATAAAAAAGAAAAATAAGAGACTTAAGACTGAGAATAGAAAAATAAAAGATGAATGAAAAAAAAACAATTTAAAAATAATAAAAAACTATAAAATAATGAACAATAAATTTGTATAAATTTTATTTAAATATTTTATTTTAAAATATTTACTCTTGCTATTCATGCAAGAGTGTGAAACCAAAACTAGAGATAAAGTTGGATTTATATTAATTAAGTAATGTGGCACACAAATATTTTTAACGTATTTATTTTATTTTTATTTCTTAAATAAATAATTTGTAAATACTCGGCATAAATTTAAACAAAATATGGTAAACAATAGAGGTATATGTGTTAAAGATACGTTAGCAAATGATACATAATAAACATAATTGAATAGATTATAAGTAATTCATTTTAGTATTTTATATAATTATTAATTAATATTCTATCTATCTTAAATTAAGAAAATATTAAACATACACTCACATTTCTTTTCTTTTAAAAATCCCTAATAAATACTAATCTAAGATTTTTTATTTCGATTTAAAAAAAAAATACTTATTCCCTCTTTTTCAGGGGACGGCGGTGTATGTTTTAAGATATTTAAGTGTATGTTAATTTATTTTTTATATTTTTCGTCAAATTTAATTTTCATTTATTTATTTCAAAAAAATGATTAATTAATAATTAAATTTAAAGAATTAAAACTTTAATTTTTTTATCAACTTTAAAAATAGTTAGTATATGTTAAATTTAGATATAAAAAAATTATATATTATGTTTTTTTTCTTAATTTTTCTATTAGTATAAAATTTGCATTAAATCTTAATTTTAACATAAAAATAATTAAAATCTAACAATTTTAAAGTTTAGTGGAATAATTTTGTTATTTTCTAATATAAAGATAAAAATAAATATAAAAAGGTCAGAAAAAATATTTTTTTCTTTTATTTTATTTATATTCTCTCGGTCAAACATACAACAGAAGAAAAAGGAGGTTAAAAATTAAAATAAACACGGGCATGACATGACAAGATTGTGTAACATATTTTAGATAAAGTTAATAAACTTGTTCTTTCATTATCTGAAGCATGATACACAAAACGAAAGTGTAAAATGTTTATGCTTAAAATCTTATCTTACACTGTTCAACGTGCACCTTTACTTGCAACATTACAAATATTATTCATGTGATAGATTCTGATGAATCATCACACAATTGATCTCCAACAGATCGTGAATGTTCCAGTATAAAATATTTAATTTTATTTTAAGAATACTTGAAAATTGTTGTGAAAGAGAGAGAGTAGTATGTGTATTGGTAAATTTAGAAAAAATATTAAATGATAAGTGTTATTTAATATCAAAGTGATTTAACTTTAAGTTTGTTATTAGCAAGATTTGAAAGAGTTAAAGATTGATACTTTAACCATTAAATTATTATGATTTTTTTATAAATAATTTATAAATGAATTATATTTATATACAAAATATAAATATATTTATATATTTTGATATATATTATATATTTATATATTTCATTTTTTTATTTAATATACACTTTTTATGTCGATTAAAATTTAATCGACATAAAAAATTCACTTTTTATATCGGTTAAAATTTAACTGATATAAAAAGTAAATTTGTCCACATATTTCAGTATATAACAATCAGTATAAAAAATTCATAATATTATTATAAAAATATCACCGTCCTATATGTTATAACGGGTTGATTAATAAAAAGTCGTCATGTATTTTTCCACTAGTGATTTACTTATATAATTAATGTTATATTAAATGATACTTACATAATTTATTGAAAAAATTACTTTTCATAGCAGTTATTGAAAAAGTTGTGTCATTTAATTTTTTGAAAAGGTTATTTTCTACCATTTTTATGAAAAAAAGAAGAAGATTTAGTTAAGTTTGAACAACATGTCTTCAAATATATTAGACCAAACTTCTCCTTACCATATTTCCCTAGTTGCAATGTTCCATTTTATTTTTTCTTTTCCCTCTAAAGTAATTTCTATTAAACTGAATAAAGTATCTTTTTATGAAATTACAGGTTGGTGTTTATCATGAAAAATTATATTTTTCTTGTTTTGGGATATTGGCTTAGGTGGGGATAGTTGTCATGAAAACACGTTTGAAGTGATTGGAATGCATGAACAAAGGAATATGCTTGAAAGGTTCAGTTGATGATGAATGAGGAGGACTCAGTGGATGAGTGGAGGGTGGAAAGCGATGACACCTGCCACCTAAAAGCAAAAAGTATGACTTTATATATATGGCCACTAACTGAGGCTCCAAACAAATCAACGTATCAAGACATAAGACTTTTATCTATAAAACCACTCTTCTTTTTATAAAATTATTTTAAACTTTTTATAACATTTTAAATATTATTTTATCTAATCTATATAAAATATATTTTACGATTATATATAATTACATAATTTAATACTCATTAATAAAAAAATAATACAGATAAATATTAAACCATGAGATAATTTTTTATTACAAAACATGAACACATCAAACTTACCGAAACACAAAACATTTATGATTTATTTAAGATTATAAATGTAGATTAGTCTATGTTAGGACTGATAGGTAAATTAGGTAATGATAGCGTATTTATTTTAAAATTTGTGTACTTTTTCTTCCTCTCAGATCTTCCATTTATAACATTTATGACAAACAATTACTGTTTTCTTGTTAATCGCTTCATTCACACTTACAGTGTTTTTTTTTTCTTTTTTCAAATTACATCCATGCACATGCTAAAAATGGTGTCACACTAATTCATTCACAATAATTGATTATTTTATAAATGTCATTGGAGAATATGTTCTTAAATCATGAAAGAAAATTCACATTTTTATTACTTTATTTCTTCACTTAAAAACAATGTTATTTTGCAAATGGTTACTAACTGTAAAGAGATATAATAATAGGGTAGTTTTTATATCGAAAACAATGTTTTGCAAAGGAAAATATTTTGTACCGAAAACAGTAATGAAATGCGTTACTAGCCTCTACGTGGACCTATTGCTATTCTAGTGATGACATTTTGGTTAAAAAGTCATCTCAAGTGAATAGTTGTACAACATGTGGAGAATTCTGATATATTCTATCATATAAGAAGATATTTGGTGGGAGGTAAGAGGAATTATAAAAGAGAAAGTGGAGTTTATTCTCTAAATAATATTTTTTAAAATACATATTTAAATATAATATATGTAAATTTAGTTATTGAATTATATTTTTTATTATTATATATAAAATTTAAATACAGTTTTTTTTACATTTACTTTTTTTTCTCTCATTTCATTATATTCTTCTAATTTAAAATGTTATATTAAAAATTTGATAAAATAGATATATTATTTTATTATTTATTAAAAAATATTTAAATTATTTAAAAATATTATAGGATAAATTTAAAGTATTATGAAGATTATTATTATGTATAATTATTAAGATAAAATTAAATATTTATTTTAAAATATTTTTTAATAAATATTTTTTAAAATTATCTAATATGATTAATTATTATAACTCAATCTAATTATAATTAGATTAAATTAATAAATAAAAAATATATTTAATTTATAAATATTTAATATTTTTTAATTAGATAAATAAATAATTTATTATGATAAAATAAATTTAATTAATTATTTACGTTATTATAAATAAAATTATTTACTATTTTAATAAATAAATTTATTTATTATTATCATACTTTTAAATAATCAGTTGATATATTTGTAATTTTGATGCTTATTTTAAAAAATTTACTTTAATATATTTTCATTAAATTTTAATATAAGAATTTTAAGTAGAAGAGTATATAGGAGAGGAGAAAGAAAAATAAAATATTTAAAAAAAAGTAAATGGAAAGAAAAAAGGATATAAATTATAAATAAATTTATTTAAATAAATAAATTGACATTAATTTATTTTGATAATATTTTAAAATATATTATTTATAAGATTAATAAATGTATTGAAATTGAAGATAAATTAATTCTTT